TAAAACAAATTTTCTGCAATATCAACAAATAGTCTGATACAGAAAAAATTAAGAGTTTTAACTCTATTTAGCCTAAATTCCTTTTTGACTTATACGTAGCTTGGCCGAAGTTTCAAATAATTAGGTCACTGTATGTACAAGTAATCCCTTTGAGCTAAAAGCTCAGGCTTCAGGCTGTTTTAAATGCTTGAGAGGGGATATCCTTAATATGGCCAGCCTGGGCACTCAGCTGTGAAGAGATAAGTTTGTTATCCAAACTTTCTTTTTATGAGGGGCAACAATTATGAGAAAGTTGGCTCAAAGCTAAGTTGACCTTAAGGGAAGACAAGGACAAAAAACAGCTAATTTCATATGGAGTAGAGAGAAGCATCAAGGCCCAGTATGAGGTAAATAGGTATTATTTTCAATGTTAAATCATGCAAAGCAATTAGAGAGAATAAAAGGAGCTCCAGAGTCTTCAGAGTATGGACATTGATTTAGTAACTTAGCGACTAAGGTGTGGAAAACATGTAAACACTTGAATATATATTAGCCTATTTTTTTATATATGCTCATAATAAGTGCAATAAGTAAGACGGTATGTTTGGCAGTTCAACTTATTTTGATATAGTGTCTCCTTCTGATGAACCTGCCACTCATTTAGGTGTATAAATCAGTTTATTTCAGCTTGTTATATGTTTTATGTTTAAAAGACAAGCAAGGGCAACATCATCCACTTGACTTTAAGGGGGTGTGTGCATGGAAAAACTAGGTGTCAAATAGAAGGTCAGTATATATGATCACATCACAAGGCACAAATAAACCTACCATTCATGCCATTATAGATGCTCCGATGATGTGGTGACAGCTCGTCTCCAGCCGGCCTCCTCTGCCCTTCTCTCACTGGGCTGCCAAACTTCACATGGTCAGGGCTCATGCTGTACTGGTGCCTGTGAGTTTCCGGGCTGCCCCCCTGGATGAAACAGCCCTTTTCATGGTGCTCTCCAGTCCCCAAATGTGCCTGCCGGGGCTCTGGGCTTCCGCATCCTGTACTACTGATGCTGCTCCTGTTGTGCCGCTGATAGAGCTCCCCGGTGCCTCCCTGACCTAGGAAGTGCTGCCTCTGGCCCAGGACGAGGTCAGAGCTGTGGTGCTTGGGGTGCTGCTCCGGACTTCGGTGGCCCACGTTCCTTCCATATTTTTCGGGACTAAGGCCCCGCATGACCCGACTATGGTCAGGCACAGATATAGAGCCGCAGCGGGGCCGGCAGAGCTGAGGGAGGGTGTATGGGTACTCCAGGCTTGTACTCCGATGGCGCCCAGCTGGGTGCTCAGGACTGGACACCTCCCTGTCTCCTCCAATTACACCTCCTATTCCACTGATGCTGCTACACCTGGGTTTATGTAGAAGCTCAGGGCTTCCTTTCTCCCCACCACTGCCAACCCCACCCACTCCTGCAGCCAGGTGAGGCTGTTTATGGTGAGGGTGATCAGAGCTGTCAGCACTCCCTGCACTGGAAGTGCTGCTTCCATCCCCTACGTCTCTCATTAGCAACCCCTGGCCGGGCACTAGCAGCAAGCTATTCTGGCTGTCTATGGAGTTACGGCACCCTCCCATTCCCACACTGCCTCCACCTACACTTCCCCCAATGCCACCTCCACCACCTACTACCCCCTTTTCTTCATCCAGTAGAAGACAGAGCTCCTTCAGCTCCAGGTTCTCCCGGATTACCTCTTCTTGTCGAAGCTCTAGCTCCTTGAGTTTCTGGAGGTAGAGGGTCACCTCTTTACGCATTATGCTGGCACTGTAACGTCCGAGACGCTGCCACTCTCTGGACACACGCTTTCCTTTTTGACGATCATCATCTAAGAAGCAGCACAAGTCCCGCAGCTCACGATTGTCCTCCTGCAGCTTCTGGTTAATGTCCTGTGAAAGCAAGAAGAGAAATAATAGAAATTTAGAAATTAGAAAAGAGCGACACACAGTTTACGTGTATGAACCAGAAAGCCTGAAGAAAAAATGCTCCTTAAGGACCACAAATTAGTTTTTGAAATGTTGCAAAAGTCATTTTTCATGGGTTACTTAACTTCGACTAAATCACTCAAGCCATTGTGCAATTTGAATACATTTCACTGCTCTTTCAGATAGCAATCAAATGGTGTATGCAATCATAATGAAATTAAATCCTAATCCTTCGTCCTTTCCCATAAATGCAGTGACTCACTGTGTACCATGTGAAATATGTAATGTAGATTAGAATCAGCTGGAGGAGATGAAAAGGCCACACAGAAATGAGGCAAGGTCATAGATCACATGCCTTAAACATTTCATACTAAGCAACATTTACTTAAGGATTCTTTCTTCACCTCCAAAAGACCTCCTTCTTTTCTCCTCTTCTGTAACAACTTAACTCTCCGTTATCCTCCATCTCCTACTTACTCCCCCTTTTGTACCCTCCAGCTCTTTCCTGTGTAATTAGGCTGCTTGGATGGGTGGAGAGGTGACGAGGTCTCCAAGAAAAGCAAATGATCCCGATGTGCTTCAGCTGAGACAACCCCAGGCTGATTCTCAGAATTGAACTGTAAACACTGTGGACACCGTGCAATAATTATTTTATTAGAAAATGAAGGCGCTGGGTAAAGGTTACTGAAATGGAGAAAGCCTGCATACAGTTTCAGAGCATCTGCCACTTGATTCTGTGTTCCACTTGCTGTAGATTTATGTGAAGGAATTTTTTTAGGAATCTAAAGTATGCGAAGACAAGATCAGATTTGAGCACTGCGTGAACAAATCCACTGATTTATTGACAGACATTACTGTTAGAAGAAAGCATTTTTAAGTGAAACCTACTCGTCATTGCTCTATCTGAGTGGAAAGGGCACAGCTTGGTATTGATTTTGCTAACAAGCACACATATCCCTTCCCTTTTTAGTTCACTTTAAAAACCTGTATTTCCCACCTCAAAAAGTTAAAATGGAAACTAGAGGCTTTTATCAGCTCCTGCATGTGCAAAAGTACACATATACTTTACATCCATCTAAACCCAAATGATCGCATATGACCCATACAATGGCACAATGAACTTCATATACCATCTATTCTCACACCATGTTTGCAGAGGCGCTCTCTAAACAGCAGAGCATTGCTCCTGCTATGCGCGTTCTCAGGTGTGCTCCAAGCCTATGATCTCATCCTTCACCGATGCGCGCCCCCTCACCTTCAGCCCCCTGATTTCGTTTAAGTGCAGCTGGAGGCTACGATTGACCTCCCGGATGAGATTCCCGTGGTCCAGAATCACGCTCATCTTGTCGGCCTCAGACCGCCTGAGTCGGCGCACCAGATCCTCCTTGGTCCACTTGAGCAGTTCCTCGTCAGTCAGACCGGAGATGTCCTCTGCTGGACTTTCAGTCTTCGCTATCGAGAGCTGAAGCCCAGGCTGGGGCGGTGGAGTCGCTTTCTCCATTGGCACAGCTCCTCCGGTACCGACAAAGAGCAGAAAATACTTAGAGGCTCGCTGGCAACCTCTGCTCGCATCCGCTCCCCGGTCGACTTAGGGTGGAAACGGTTACGGATTGTAAATCAGTCGCATAGTTTGGCCTTTTCTGTTGCTCCCCACTCTTCCACTCTCTTCCTAGAGCAACAGCTGACGATGCCGGCTGGGCGCGATACAGCGGAGAAGATGCTCTACTATCACTGCAACATCCTCACAGCCGAAATGGACTCTGTGCGCAGCCGATATGCATTAGAATCCAGATTCTGTCGGTCAGGTGGTCAAAGTGAGAAAAGCTTCGGTTTACACACACACCTGCCGCATCTAGGCTCAGCACACTGCGAGAAAGAGGAGATAGTCCGCTGTGCACAGCAGAAACACAGGGAGAGGAAACAGCTCTCCCCTTTCTCTCCCCCTCCCTCTCTCTCTCCAGGTCTCTCCCTCCGGGGGCTTGAGCCTCACCGAAATCATAGTTTGGTTGCAGCGCCACCTAACGTTTAAAATTATTGCAAACTGTTCTGAAATGCTTCGTTAATTATCTCTCGGATTGGCTTGAAATTACAGGGGGTACTCTGAAGTTAAGATTCTGGTACTTTATCCAAACGACATCATTTCTGCAAGTGTGACGATTTAGGAGAAAACATAGGCTGTATAAGCGCCAAAATATAATTAAAATAAATTAATTAATAATCAGGTTTACAGGTTCTAAAACTTAACAACAGGCTATCCACTGATGTCCGTAGCCTCACTCGACTGCCTCATGTTGCACCGTGTAGTCCTTTAAGTTTAAATTACTGTCTGTGATTTTCAAATTGTAAGCCGCTGATATTTTAGATACCGGAACTTTCCTCTGTGGGAAATGGGTAGGTATGGTGTAGCTATATTAAGTGGTTTGGACCAAAAGTCCCCATATTTGAGCACAAAAGATAAATAATAATAATAGTAATAATGCTTTTGTTGATGTTCATCTATTTGTTTTCTTCTTTTATACACCCCAACTACACCACGTTAATAGAAGTGAGTGGTAGTAGTAGAAATAGTAGTGTTTGTATTAATGAACTCTAAAAACCAAGAATGGGTAGTAACCGTTAACCATTTGTTCATTTTTATTGAACATGTTGACGACTGTGTGTAGGAAACTATTTTTTAAAAATCATATATTTGAAATTAACAGTAACTTTAGAAATATATATAAGGCAAAGCATGTGGTTCATTATTTTTCTCTGAAATTTAGTAAAGTAGAAGAAAAGTGGCATACAGCTGAAATACTCATTAGTACATCTAAATGTACATGTGTCAGTACAGATAATACAAGTCCCGCACAACTGTCGAACAACACGTTATCACACAGTACAAAATTTTCGGTGGACATAACACGCTCTACAACTCCGAGATTATCGGAGCTTAGGTTACTGCTGCAGCGGATCTAAACAACTCATTTCCCCATAGTTGTACGCTTCCGCTGCATACGCTGAGCATGACGTACGAACGTCATGAAAATACGAGCCAATAGGACACGCCTGATCTTGGAGTAACACGTCATTCTAGTGGAGTGCATACCCGGCTGATAGGGAGTGATCTCCTCAACGTCGTCTCTGTGTCCTCTCGGGCATCCGTCTCCATTTACCTCCAGATGCTGTAACTCGTTTCGAACCGAACAGTTTCTTTATTGTTGTCCATACCTAAGCTCAACTTAATATAAAAGGTAAGAGCTCGCCTTAAATTTCTTCGAAAGTAGACCGCCCGAATTCAGCTTTCATTTACGAAG